AATGCAAAATAAACTAGGTAGTACATTATAATGCATGCATTTCCTGTCTTTCTAGAGTTGCCACCTTCTGACTAGCCTTCAAAATCACCTGCAGTAGTTTTCCTGTGAAGACTTCATTATATATGACAGTGTAATTCATCAAAGCTTGCAGTGACTGGGATGCAAACACAGGCCAGCAGTGGAGTGCCAGTGCACGACATTCTCTGATGTGCAGCAGGTTCTCACAGGGCTGGGCTGTAGCACAGCAACAGGGTCTCAGTTTGCTTTGTTGTATGAAGGGCCATTCCAACAATTCCCTAATATTGCTGCCTCTCTGTGGGGATTTTCACATCTCCCGTAACAATGGTGTGTTGGAGTTATGCACAGACCTTTTATACAAGTGGACAGACAATATATTCCCAATGTTTTCAGAGATATCAAGAGGCCTCATGGTGATTACAGACTCTACAGCTGCAGAGACATCCTACACAACGTTAAATTAGAGTATTGATTTGAAAGAAGACTTGAATAGATCCAGGCTTCCATAATGAGAAAGCAAACAACTGCTCAGAATTTAAACAGTTTAGAAAGAAAAGATAATCCAGCAGCTCTACTGAAAGGTCTGATAACAGACTCTCCCTTACTAGGGCACTTCACTCTGAGCTCTTATTTCAAACTACAGAATAAGCAGCTGCTCAAAATGGCAGCTATTTCAAAATCCTTGCAGATACTGCAAAAGAGTTTGGTGTATCTTTAATTGTCTAGACATTCATTCCCACACTCAATCACCAAATCACCTTGCCACTTTCAAAATAGGGATATTTTGTCCCTTTAGCCAGGCAGGTCCGAAAAATATGCTGGGAAGAACAATTCTAAGTTCTGCACCTTTATAACCTAGAGTTTACATATTTATGTTCACATGCATCAGGCTGACTTCATTACACATTGTTCAGAACCCGGTGTCCCAGCAAGGGCTGCAGTGGGCGTACCTGAGGTTTCTGAATATTTTCCCTTTTCGTGTTTGAGGTATAGCCATAGGTCAGGACAAACATTCAATATCCTCAGACATCTTTCGGATTTGATTCTTGAGCAGCAAATAGTACATATCTGAAAGAATCTGGATATATGGCTGGAATGTGTAAAGGATCTATCCAACCAACCATCCATCCCACTCAGAGGGACACTGTTTGCAGTTCTCTGAGGGTGTGTAGCAGAACTTCTGTTCTGTGCTCTACCTTCTGCAGATTGAAAATATGTTTTATGTTGTGCCACTTACTGATGACAAAATGAAATTAATGTTGTGCTTCTGGAAAAGTAACACCTAAAAGATGGATTAAGTTAGTCTATTAATCTTACTAGTGGAAGTGACTGTCTTTCTTTAACCAATAAAAAATTGCAGTAAATTGGAGTTTTAATTGTCTGTGCTCAATCCTAATTCTTGCTTAGAGTGCAATCAAAAATGAAAAAAGCATCAATATGACAATTTTTATAAATCATTACATTTTTAATTGTGTTGAATTTTATGCACATAACATACTGTGTTTGGTGCAGTATAACAGAAATACTGGCGCTGTAGAATTTTGCCTTTAGTAATCTGGCATTTTTCCTCAATTTCTTCTTCCTTTTAATTTCTGTCTCGCTATTACAGCCTTTGAGCATCTGAACAACATTACAGATTATTTTGCTGAATCAACATCCTAGCAAATGTGCTTTATCATCATGAATCGGACAGTGCCTGGTTATTGCACTGAAATTGAATATCAAAAGCTGCAAAAGCATTTTCAAGTTCTCCTTTCTCTTTCCTCACATCTTCAAGTACAGATTAAGGATGGTCTTTGTCCCTTAAAGTCAACATCTATTTTTATCCTGATTTCATGCAGTATGTTCTTTATATTGGTGTAAGAACAAGGTAACAGCTCTTATGTCCTTGTGTGAAATCTAATTATTTTGTTTCTGGTGGAAATTTTGAGATTCTCAATGAAATAATTCATTTACATCTTTGAACTTTACACAATAGTTCTACCATAAACACATATCTTTACTTTCAGTGGAGAATCTTGCTGCTTTTATGTGTAACTTTTTTTTTGTTGTTCAGTTAGCTCTACCTGTATTATATAGCATCGGACATCTCTTTATTTAGAAGTATCATTCCTTAACATGGATTTTCAGGTTTGTCTGCTGGGAGGGTTTAGGTTGGATTATTTCTTTCTTCCTGTATACCACTCTGTGATCAGACTGTTTTATATTATACTAATCAGAATTTTCATGGCATGGAAATTGTGAGCATGTGAACTTTATTCTTCTTTTTGTGTCATTTTGTATAAGTATGAACCTGGTAAAACTGCACAAAATTTAATATATCATTGTTTGGATATTGGCTTGGACTTCTGTAGAGTTCTCCTGTGTCTGAAGTAACTGATTCAAATAATAATTTATCTATCATGTTCCTTCAGTGGGAACTGTCCATCCGATAATGAAGTTATTTTATTGTAAACATCTAAAATCCATAATACAGGAAACCACATGAATGCTATCAGCAACTTTACATTCTTGTTTACCAAAGGCTGTTATTATAAATGAATTTGAAAATGTCTATTGGAATGCATTGCTATGGTAACTGGGATCCACAACAGCAGCTGCTTGCTCTTCATTGCTGTTGCATATATACATTAAAGCTGACAATGTCTCTTCATTCAATTTTAACATGTGTAGCCTGAAAAAAAGATATCAGCATTTCAAAAGCTACACATCTGATGTCAAATGCAGCCAATCTTTGAGTTAGGTTTATTTAGTTTTTTGGTTTCAGTCTTAGAGTTGTTGAAAAATAGATAGAACATGAGGTTTAACATGATTTTTTGCCATGAGAAGTTACTCTTCCATACTGTTTTGTCAAATTCAAAACACTAGAAGATTTTCTAGTAATTCAGTTTCAGAAAATGCTTTTTCTATCCATACTTACTGATTGTTATAGCAATTATAGTCAACAGTTATGAAGAAGTTTTTGTCCCGTGCCAGCCTTTCTGGGAGGAATCTATAACTGGGGCTTCTGCTCCATTTTTTAATGTCCCATACTCTAAGAACTAAAATCTAGTCAGTTGTCCTCCAGCTTTGTGTTGTATTCTGTTTTACATTTCAGAGATGTCTTTAGATCTAAGCTATGCCATTGTGATGTGCCATTGAGACACTTCCTAAACAGAGTGTCTTTTGGTCCAGTGGGCAGAGGAAATATGAAATGTGTTCCTCATGTCAGTAAGAGTAAAATAATCACATTCATCTTCTTAAAAATCTTGCCAGAGAAGTATTTTATGTTATCCCTTCCTTAAAGATGAGGAAATATAACACAGAGAGATTACAAATCAGATTGAAATCTCTAGTATTACTTGTAGAAGTAGAGTATTAAGTGGCATAGAAAAGGGTTGAAAGAATTAAAATTTGAGCTTACTGTTTGTTGTGCTGGTCCTGTTAAAAAACCAGACCTTAAACTAGGATGGGAAAAGATTCAGAGAAGAGCTGAAGGTCGAACAAAAGGACAATTTCATCCCTAGAAGCCATGAAGTAAACTAGGACTGTTGGGCTAGAGAAAAAGATATCATGGAAGGATATGATAAAGTACAAGATGGTGAGTGTGATAGAAAGGCTGAGTATGTCTCAGAAGTTCTTCAGCCTTTTAATCACAGACCTACAAGAGCCAATTAACCCTGCCCCCTTCCCCCCCACCAAAATTAATCTCATAGGATCCTGTTTCAGAGCAATGAGTGCTGCACTGGGTGACAGAGCTGTTAAACTTCAGGCCAAAAGACATTGCAGATGGCCAGAGTTTCTGTTGGTTCTAAGGAGGAATGGACAGTTCACAAAAGTGAAGCACATTGGGGCTAACCAAGTACATGGAAACTGACTTTGGCAGTCCCTGAGCTGAAAAGGATTGCTGAGGTGCGAAAAGTCTGCAGAAGTATTAGGCATCAGTCCATGTATACCCTATTCCTGCTGCTTCCATTTCCTGGATACACTTAATGACAGGCTACTGTTCTACAGGGATATTTGCTTTGGCCCAGCAGCTTGTCCCTAAGTGTCCATTCCCTGCAAACAACATTGCCTTTCAAAGTATAAAGCAACTAGAAGATATTTAGTTTTACTATACTTGGTTTTCACACATGAAACAAACGCAAATATTTGAACACTGTCGGCAGATCATCTGTTTGACAGTAGAGCCATTATTATTCTGTTTATAAAACATTGCATCTTCAAACGCTTCAACTTCAGTGTAAACTGAAAGGCTAAAACACTTGCTTTCATGTCCATTTATTGATATATTTTTTTAAAGCCTAATTGAAAGTTTGCTGCCACTGGGATGAAACTTCTAAAGGATGTAGAAGTTCTCCTAACTGCATTTTGATAACTTCCAGGAGTAGGGAACATAATGTGAAATCACAGAGCTCATTATGATTAAGTCATACTGGAAGAAACAAAGAAACAGTTGGTGACTCTGAAAGTACTTAACCACAGTCATGAAACACAGAACTCGACTTAGAAATAGCTGCCACAAAGGACGCTACTTTTTTAATAGCTGACGTTTTTTCACTTTATCACTTCAGGCACGTTCACCCCTGCAGCGCACACACATTTTGCTGCATGCCCCTGCGAGCAAAATCTTGCCACATAAACCCAATATAGAAATCCTTGAGAAAATCAAATGTTTGAATATGCTATACTTGCCAAAGAATCTTAAAGCTTCACCTAGAAGATAAATAACTACATAAAGCAAAAGAGAAATTAAATAAATTTTACTGTGGTGAAAAGTATGTGCTAGAACCATTTATAACAGCTAATGAGAATAATAGTAATGAGAAATATAAAACTAATTTTTAAACTACAATAATAGAAGTTTTTGTGAGGAGGGATAAATACAAAGAATAAAAACAGAACATACTACAAAAATCAAAAATAATGCAATTTTTTTTTTTCTTAACTGCTAAAAATGTTATTTAGCGTAGAATCAGCACTGTTACTATATAGGAGCTATGAAAAGTTCCACATTGTCTCATGAGATGGATTAGTTTAGTCTAGGAAAAAATCTTTCCAAAGTGTTTGTCTAATAAAGAGAAATTTATCTCCAGCAAGGAAATAATTAGGTAGAACAATTTTGCCTTGGCTTATGCAGGCAAATTTTTCCTTCTTTTTAGTCAAGCAACCACTCAGGATTCTTAAAATTCAAGAAAACAACCAAGGTTTATTGGAAGCAGAACTTTCTTTCAATGTTTCAGGCTGGTTTACAAGTTTGGAAAATAAATTTTTGCTGAGTCAGTGAGCACCTACTGCAGCCGGTGTCTGTTGGTTCAGAGCTGACAGCAGCTCTCGCCACACAGGCACAGTTCATTGCCATCTACCTGCAAACTCCCCAGAGCCATTCCCCCGCTATCCCAAGAGCCCATAACAAGTGGATAACAAGCTAGAAGGATTGGGATCTCATGGAATCGGCTGAAATTGACCTAAAGTGGGCATACATTCATCAGGGAAATGGACTACACGATCTTCTGACTTCCTTTGCATTCTAAATTAATCTGTGATTCTGTGATTTTTCCAATTCACACTTGCAGAATAAACTGTTGATCAGTTAAGCAGTGGATTTAGCTTAATCAAGAGGTATCTTTCTTAAATTTAGTTGTATGCAGTATGTAAGGCACCAAACTGTCTGATTTATTGTCCTTTCTGGTCTAGGAAACTGAGAAGCTCATGAAAACCCAACTTTATATGTTACAATAGTAGATATATCGGAAGGAGAAAAATGTATTTGATACATGTAGTCATCTGCTTAACACTCTACTGAGGCTTTGCTGAGAAATAAATAACAAATTGTTGTCAAGTTGGCGTAACTTGACAGCCAGTTCTAGCTGGTTTTTGCTTCAGCCAACAGCTTCAGATATGGAAAAACATATCGTGCTTACCAATCTTTGCAGATGGACATGGTAACAAGGCCTATGTGTTCTCAGACCTCATAATAACGATGACCAGAATAAAGAGATCATAGTTACTCCTGCCTCAGGCTGTCCTGAAAGGTGGTTATGTCCACACAAGTGGGTTTAGGTAGATCACAACCACGGCAAGTTCAGCTCAAAGGTTGGTACCTACTGGCCACTCTGTGTTACATCACAAGGTGCTTTGGGTCTTCAAACCAAAGTGATTTATCCAGGGAAGTTGCAGATGAATTGCAAGGCAGCCTGATTTTGTGTCTGAAGTTTGATTTAAAGATCACAACATGAAATTACACCATTTCTGGCATACACTCATGAAAATGAATAGAGCTGTACTTCGTAATTTGCCGTCCAAAGAAACTTACTTTTAGGGATCTGAGGTTGTAGGATTGAGCAACAGTATTAAATAGTTCTATATTATTAAAATGTCATGTCTTTCAAGTTCACAGATCATTCACATTTCAGAGCAAGTTTTGAAGAAGTCCTTATCAGTCACTGATACATCTCATATGAGGGAAAGAATTAAAAAAGGAAACGGGCTCACCGAGGAAAAACATCAAGAGTTTCATCCTCTGATCTGAAAATTCCTACACAGACAAGGTCAGTTAAATTACATACTTTCTGTACTTTACTCCAGCTGACAATCTGCTGGTTATAATGCAAGAACACAAGGGCTCAAATAGATTTTTCTGCCATGGTGTGCCATCTGGCACAGAGCAGCCTCACAAATGCTGCTTCCCTGCTCTGCGTCTGCAGATCCAGTGACGGCATAATTGTAAGCCCTGTCAGTTTTCAGTAGCAAAGTCAGCTTAATGCAATCTATCTGTAGGTATCAAAGTCAGTCATGCCAGATGCAAATATTTCATTGCCCAAACTTAAAGATGTAATTGTATTTCCATGCAGAAAAAAATCTCCAACATTGGAAGTACATTTGAAAGTGCAGGAGGATTAAAACAAAAGGGGATTATATCTGGAACTGGTTGGTATATTGGTGCTTAACGGAATAATGCATTAGGCAGCAGACGAGTTATTTCACTTCTGTGGTGCCAAATTGGGATCTCGTTTTCCTCTGATACAAGAGAGATGAGGATCTGCTTTTAATAAGAGAAGCAGTAACACAATGAACCATCATGCAGCCGCTGCTTAAGTGTTCCCAAGCAGCAGTCAGTACCTCTCACTACTGAGGCAAGGATGCGTGTCCTTGTAACTTGGATTTCAGAGCATTCAGAATGATGCTCAAATGTGTGGTAGTGCTGGGATGCTGCACAGATGGTGACTTGCATAAAATTACTCTTTCATTTGTGACTCACCTCAGAATCCAACCTTGTGCCTCCAACAGGGACAGGACACAAAACCACCTTACTGCAACAGCTTTTTTTTCTTTCAATCAAATTTTTTAAATGTCTGTCCAAGTGCTGCTGTTACAGATGAGAACCTTGCTTCCTAGACGTTAATGTTACAAGGGAAGAAACATTGCAGAGTTTATAGTAAAAGCATCATGTATGAAGACATGCTAAGCATTGAGGTCTGCTGTTCTGAAAAATACCTTCTAATACACAGATTCCATCCTAGTTTTTCCCCACATTTATGTATGACACTGACTGGTGTTGATTTCATCTTCCTGAGTACATTATTCAGTATTCAAGTGAACAGAAGGTGCTCCTTCAACCCATTTATGATACAATGTTGTTCAGTGGAGTTAATATACATCTCACACTTACAAGTACACAAAGAAATTGTGTATGCTTACATTTGACAACCATAATTTTGTACTCCTACAGGCAAGGTTGCAGCTTTCAGTGATTCTGCAGTTTTAGAAATGCCATTCTCCCATGGAAACCTCTGCGCACTGTAGAAGTAACTTAAAAATAGAGGTTTCTGAATTACACTCCATATTTAAGTGCTTAGAGAACAAAGACACCTTAGATTACTGGAAATGGGACTGAAGGAGAGAGCAGTTGAAAGAAAAGTCTTCTGTAGAGCTGTTGGCAACATTTCTTCAATATCCATATCCAAATAAAGGGTTGGGCATGGTGACATCAAAATATGAAGCCTTTCTATAGCTGGATGTGTTACTTTAGAAAAATGTTGAATTACTTGGCAATTCTTCAACTACACTTCTGGACACTTGAACTGCAACTACTCAGGAATCCCAAAATCATTTGCAAACAGAAATAAATTATATCTCACAATGAGACACAGATGATAACTACCCTATGGAAAGTCAGGAAAGGTATTCAAATGTCTCAGCTTTCTCATATCTGGACTTTAGAAGAAGTTTACTTCATTAGTTCTACATTTATTATTTACAATTTTCACTCTTAATTTTGTCCTATCAAAAATATCAATTCCTGAAAAAGAAGTGCCATAGCTCCCAAAATACTTATGCTGGGTTCAAAGAAGAAACAAAACCCCTCAGTTATTGGGAAGTGGCTTCCTAACACCTCTGTGCTTTTGAGACTGTTTTTCTCTTAGTTTACAGGATCCATGCTTTGAGCAATACTGCCTGCTTCCAATTCCATCTCAACACTTGTCTTGGTATTGAGGGCTTGGAGTTTTTCCTTGATTCTACATATTAGCTGAATTTTCCTGTCCTTCCTGTATGAGTTTTTTACAAGACATTGTGAGAAATGTGTGACATCCTACCCCACAGGGAATGGTTTCTGCTTCTCCATGAGAGATGGGACTATTTCCCACTTTCTTTGTAGATGTACTGCCATGAACTGTAACAGTTGTCCAATGGCTCAAGAAGAGCAAGATGGAAAAATACGTGGTGATTTGTTGTGAAGAGTAGTTTAATTCCAGAAGCCCTTTTACATTTGCATTCAGGATTTCTTAATCACTGACTGTTTTTTGTTTGTTTGGGGTTTTGTAAGAAAATCCCATCATGTGAAAAGGAGTAGGAGGAAAAAATCCTATTTATAAAGCCCCAAGATTTTACTGTTATTTAAGAAATAAATATCTTTTTCCCCATTAAGTGACACTGTATTGACTTCTATTTGCTTTGCAATGGAAGCTCAGAAAGCAACTTTTGCTTACAGATATGAAAACTGGAAACAAAATCCATTATTTACAGTACTTTTGAAAATGTTATCTCACTTACAGGAAGATGTTTGGACTATTTAAAGTAATTTTATTGCTTGCTTAGAAAAAAGAACATACTCTATTTAACCATAGTAGGTGGTATTTAAAAAAAACAAAGGCGGCCTAAAGTGGCTAAATTCAGATGTAAAATATTAAATGAGATTTATTTTTATAACAAATTCAGGTAGAATGGCAGAGCACAAGCAACAAGTAGTGATTGTTTTCATGGCAATATCACCTCTATGAACTGCAAAAAAAATGTGTCTGTTTTAGAATTAGATTGCACAGAAAGAAAAAGCCAAGCTGAAAACAACAATAATTTATGGCTGAGCAGATGGCAAATCAAGCTAACTCTAGATTTAGTTCCTGAGCAAAATCTCTGTTTAAAATACATTGTTTATCTGGCTAGCTATTCTTATGGTCCCTTCCCATCCACTGCAAATGAGTGATAAATTTGAGGATTGTCTCAGGGGGTTGTTGCAATACCAAAAATTGTACTCTTTTCCTTTTCAAAATTATAATTTTATTATGAATTCTAAAATTGTCAAAGAAGGAAGGACATAAAAATTTGCTAATTCCCATTTGGTATCCAAATATTCCTCTATATGTCTACCAACAGTTTAAAATCACATCTTAACCTACCTTTTAAAATGCTGTATATCTGTTGAAGTATTACATGAAATGCTACATGATATATTTTCTTTTTAAAAAAACAATATAGTAAGAAGTATTTCTCAGTACACAATATTTCATTTTGAGGATATGCTGAATGGTGTTTTAGTAACTTTAAAGAATATATTAAAACATTTTTGCTAACTCTTTTTCCTAAGAAGTCTAGCTCTTATGTGAGATGGGAATGATTAAATTCCATGGAATTGTTTTCTGTGGGAGATTCAGGAGGAGATTTTGAAATCTGAATTTTCACTGGGAAAATGCAACCCATTGTATTATCAGAATACCAACATACTGTTTTCTTCTATTTTAACATATAAGAAATACCTATTGTTATAAAACATTATGATAGCCCCATTCCAAATGTTGTTAGTAATAATATGATATTTTTAAATTCATAATTTCCAGATAGAGGAACAACTCCCAAAGCCAGATAATGGTATTTTCAGTTTTCCTTTTTTTAAAACCCCCTAAAATTAAATCAATGTGCAAGATGTAAATGGAACTCAAGGAACTGCTTTCTCTCAGAGGCAATAAGTGACCATTTGCTCACCCATGTTGAAATGGATCTTTCAACAAAAGACCATATTCAAAACCAGAGAACAGATAAACGTAATAGCCTGTGTTTTGCTGGCAGAGTCTTCCAGAGTCACAAAGAGAACCTTTAAGCCTGCACAGGAATGTGACAAACATGTTTTATGATGTAATACATCCCATTTAACACCCAGAAATACCCTGGGGATTTATTTCTTGGGGAATACTGTGAAATATATGAAGAACTACATTCAAATGCTATTTCTCTATACATTTAGAAGGTGGAAAGGAGATCTAAGCAACAAGAGGAATGTTCAATCTTTATGATTGTTCTGCCTTCACATCCATTAAAAGGCAACTGATCAGTAAGTTCCAATTTCTCCTCTTTTCCAAGACCTGTTCAGTTTATTCCTCTTTGAAGTGACAGAATATGTAGATGCACAGAAGTTTTGAGGTTTGCTGCAACCAAAACAAATGTTAAAAGGACTGCTGTGAGACATTGACCTAATAATTCTTTACTTATGGCTCTTTCCATTTTAGAGACTCTTGTTTCTGGTGGGTGAGGCCCTACCCTGCAGTCTTCTTCACACCTGCAGGGCTGTGCTCAGCAGATAGAGTGTTGCCAGGTTTGGACTGTCAGGCATGGTGGAGAGAGCATTAATGGAAGAGTTCAAGCTGTGCTCCAGAGAAGCCATGTCAAGCACCAACAGTATGTAAATCTAAGTCCAACACTCTTTTCCCTTTTTTCTTGCAAGAGCTGCTTTATAAGAAACAACAGTTTCTTCTGACTTGCAATGGAGGCAGAAGATTGGGAAGGGAAAGGACAAGGTGGATAAACACTGTTAACAGCAAATCTGAGAATAACGCAGGAAAGCCCTAAGTGCTGGCTCAGCTTAAATTACTTCCTACCACTTTCTGTCTGGGATACTCAGCTGATTTATCCTAAAATTGTTTTCTTGTACTTCCAAGGATGTTGAGCAGATATGCTATTTCGTCCTAAACAGTGTCTAACCTGTGAGAGACAAGAACATCCATAGCAGTCTCAGTGTCCTGGGAGTGCATTGTTTAACCAGTTGAGCATTTATTAGGGAGCACTTGTCAGGAAACAGGTGTGATTTGAAGACACACAAATCTAGCTTTTTCTAAGCCTTTAGTACCTTGGGATGGTGAGCCCCTGCAGTTCCTCTCCCTACCAGGGCCAGAGAAATGCTGAAAGTTTTCTGGATAGAAAGAACAGCCTCAAACAGGGGATAAGTATCTGTTTGCTCTCTGATAGCAGAAAACACAGCCTTGAATTTGTTTGCTGCTCATGTCAGATAATGTTCTTTTACTGTAAGAGCTTAGAAAACAATATCTCTCTTTCAAATACCAGAACACACTTTGTCTGTAAATCATACAAGAATTCACTAGACATCCAAGCAGACAATAGGAATAATCTAAAATACATCGTGTATACATGTTAGAAGACAGGAAAAAATTCCTCATATGGCTCAGAAATAGAACAGATTACACAGAACACAATTCATAAAGCTTTTTCTGGCAAATCAGAAAAATTCACAAAAATTAACAGTCCCCAAGAATTTTTAGAATTTCAGTCTTCTGTGTCTTCCATAACAGACTGGTGGAAGATGCTCATGTAAAGCCTAAGAAAGTGAAACTTAAGCAAGAAAAGCAGCAGTTCTAATGTTATTCCATGTCCAAACTGACAGAGGAATGAAAATGCTGGAGTCACCATAAGATGCTTTGAGTACGATGGAGTTTATGTATGACTTTTGAATTTCATCTCTACAATATAAATTTTTTTTGTGTATGTAATTCAAAATGCTAACCCTACTGAATGCAATAATTTTTTGCTTCCTCTCTCTTATACCTGCAAATTAAATACCCAGGAAAACAAAAAAAATCACAGTGAGACACTGAGCATCTTGGAACTCTATCTAAGCTGGTTCAGGCTTTGGACAAGATGACCCTTGAAGTCCCTTCAGATCTGAATTATTCTTTCATTCTTATTTTTGGTGTTAAATTAATCAGAAATTCAAAAAGATAATTGCACAGAATTCACAATAGGTCATTGTTTACAATTCATGGGCTTCTACTCACAGAAAGCCTGGCATTCATAAACAGTAAGAACAACCACTTTAACCAACAGGCTTGTGACAAAACAAAGGAATGCCCAAACTGACCACCAAAGGAGAGCAGAATTCATAAGAAGGGATTTTTTTCATGATTTATCTGAGGAGTCTTCCACAGCTTATCTTTGGAGAGCAGAAAAAAGAGAAATAAAAATGACTGCTGCAGCAAGAAAAACTGTCAAGTTTTGAGGAAATTATATGAAGGGAAAGGAGAGATAAGTGCATCTGGATTCCTTCTGTATTTTGGTCTGGGTACGAAAAAATGCTACAGAGCAGTAACACACCAAAAGCATGGGAGTACACAGAGAGTCCTGATGTTCTACAGGTATCTGACAGTACCAGGGGAGCGACTCTTGTAGAAATGTATGCACAATATGTGCTGATACAAGGTGTCACTTGAATTTTTCAGCTCTAATGATAATGTTTCTCCATTTCTTACTTTTCCCTTAGCAAATGAAAAAGTCTGTTCATCCTAGCTCTTTCCAAAGAGATCAATGGCACTTATTTCAGGTACTTTCCTTTCATCTAGTCAGGACTGCTTAAAATGAGCAGATTGTCACACAAAATATGTGTGGTAGAAATCTGTAAGAGGACTTTTTAGGTTTTTAATTTTGCAGCAGCTGTTGAAGTGGGCATGTCAGAGCTGTTATTCTGGGCATGGTGAAAATTAGACATTTTGTAATCTTGCCTGTAACTTCACCCTCATAGACTAAAAGCACAACTGACCACAAAAGTCATAATACGTAATAGGGTGTAACCTAACAAAACAAACACTTGTGGATGGACACATCAAATACAGGGCTTTCCGACCTCAACTTCTACTTGAATGGGATTCCTGTGACTTTGAAAGTATCTCCAGGATACCTTAAATAGAACAGAAATAGCTCAAAGTTGACTTTAAGACATTCTTCAGAGGTCATTCCCATAGTGTAACAGCTTTGTATCTACCTTTTCAGTAGGGATATCTCTTCTGTGAAGTGATGATCTCTCCTGATACATATATGATGAAATTGTTTACTTTTTTGTCACTATTTCCACTAAGCAACAAAAGGGAAACATTTCTCCTAGAAGAAAAACTAATAGTCTAAGTATTTCAAAGATTAAATTTTTGTTTTACAATTCTTCTGTTTAAAAGAATACACACAGGTCCCCACAAGGATGTGTTTGATCTGAGAATTGACTATTTAGTCACAGAATTTCTATGATACTCAAAAGAAAAAGATTATCATTTAAGTCCTACTTTACTGAAATACAGTCACAGACATCAAAGCTTTGTTCCCAAGTTCAGCTGTTACTGACTGAATGAAGCCATACCCTGTTGGCCACACTGCTGAAAGTGGATTCCTTTTGTTATTTATGGACAGAGGAGTTTAGGATCAAACTGTGGTCTCGCTGAAGTTAATGGCAAAACTCCCACTGACTTCAATTAGAACAGAATTTGGCTCACAGTCTCATTACTGAGCATAACAATTAAAAGAAGCTTTTACAAGCTGTATTGCTGTGTAAAAGGGCATGAACCATGTAGCAGATTTCATTGAACCCACAGCCAACAGTCATTGCTATAGCAACTGAGGTTCTAACAAAGGTAGTCACTGTCTCTGTAATCATCAGGTGTCTCTATAGCAACTAGAGTTTCCAGAGAACAAGAGAAAAATATTTGAAAACTGTCAGTTGGAAGAAAAGAGGTTTGTGAATAAGGAGGTTGGAAGCAAGAGCAATGTAAGGGTAAAACATGGCTTGGAGTAAAGAGAAATGATTGTCCCAAACATACACAGAGAATGGCAAAGGGAGAGAGAGCACAGGCCAAGGGCTCAACTGGAGATGAGAGAGAGCTTTCCCTTGGGTAAGGAAAGCAATATGGCACTCCAAAGAGATATTCCCAGATCTAAAATGGTTATGTTTCAGACATAATTCTCTTAAAGAAAAATTGGTTACTACACAAGAGTGCAGAGCCATACTTTGTCTGCAATAAGAGTTACAGTCCAGCAGGATTTTCAAAAGCACCTGCCTGCATTTCTTTTGCCCACATTCCTTTACAAACATAGTTGTGTTTGTCTTCAAAATGGAAGAACACAATCTGTTCTCTTGAAACACTGCTGCGGATAGTACGGTACAATTATGTAGAAATGATGATTAACTGTTCCTAATGTTACTTATTTACAAGTTTTTAAACAGTATTGAAATCAAAAAAGGAACAGCTGCTGTTTGGATACTGATAGGGATGAAAACAGCAGTGTTAATTATAGGTCTATTTCTGTAAAATACACTTTTAGGCTCTGAGGTAGGAAGCAGGGTTATCTGCACATAAGAAAAGCCAGCATATGTAAATATAATTCCCCACAAAAAAATAGTTTAGTGATATTTGAAGAACCTATAAAATGATAACTTCAGACTAATCTTATTCCTACTGATCTAATGAAAATAAGAATTGGGGCAAGATGTTTAGTTTAATGAGGAGTTATCCAAAATATTCATGTTCACACACTAAAAATAATTCAGTCGGATCAGCACTTTTCCTCTGAAAATAAAGTCACAAAAGTAGTTATGAATTCTAAACGGGATCCTGTCCTATACTGATGCACTACAATGCTTTGTTTAAATAAACCAAAACCTATCTTTAACCTGGAAAATTGATAAAAGACCCAGTAATGCTAGAGTCAGATTTCCATTTCACGTGTAACGAGAGCCCTCTAGTGGGGTGTGCTTTCAGATTCGACTCATGGAGAAGAGTAGCCCTTGTCATGCAAGGCAGTTAAATCAGGTATTTGTTCCTGAATTCCTCACTAGCATTTTGTTACAACACAGTGCAATGTAATATAATTTGTATCTGAAACAGAAGTCACCAAATGACACGCTGAAGAACAAAGAACCTAAGTAAAACAAAAAACACTGCACCAAAATACTTTTTCAGGCAGACTTTGGGGGTTTGGGGGAGCGGAGGGGAGGGGTGAGTTTGGTGAGGGTTTTGTGCTTTTGTTGGGGAGGGGGTTGATTTAAGCCTTAAATGGCAATGACAGACAGGATGTTTTCTGCTGTGGTGTGTCCATCCTGAATTCAGCAGTTTTTCTGTAGTTGATGTTTACTCAACACAATTGAATCAGTGATGTGGTATCACCATTGATATGGAAGCGTGGAGTTTTAATATCAACAGCCCAGGGGAGACTGATCTTCATGACAGCTGCTTCAAATCACAAAGGCCTCCCAACATGCAGAAAGTCAGGCAAACCTGGCAGGAGGCTGGTGTGGGGGAACACCTGGCTGAGCTCAAATAGGAAAAGGAAGTAGAGGAATGGAAGCAGAAACAGGTGACCCAGGAAGAATATAGAGCCATTGCCTGAGCAAACAGAAAAATGCTGAAACAGAGCTGTAAGTCAGTAGGTATTTAAGGAAAAGGGCAGCAAAATTTGCTCCTGCAAGTGGAGAACCAGGCTCAGTGGGTCAGAGAGACTAGTGACAAAGGACATGGAACAGACAAAGGAATTAAAACGATCTTTTTGCCTCAGATTTTAGTACACACATTCCAGTTTGTAGCATAGTCTGTGAGACTGATGCATTGCCTGCTTTCATAGGAAACTGAACCTAAAGCAGCATATACACACAAATCCACAGTTCTAAGATTTGAGCATGAGTCAGCTCCCCAAAGTAGTCTACCACCAGGAAGCTGTAACTTAGAAAGATTTAACTTAAATTTGTAACAATAAAAATTATCTTGGTTGTTTTTCAGTTTATTAAAATATTAAAAAAAATACTACAGGGAGCCGTTCAAGCTGGAAATGAGCATTAAACCCACTGAAGTAAACTTGGAAATACTTCCTTCATAATCCTGACATTCAGTTGTGTGGATTAATTTAAACTGCATAAACAGGTAATACCAGTTTTCCACAATTTTGTAAGAATTTATTTAGTTCTGAACCTGATGGCTAAAACTGTCTGAACTGGAACAGATTAACTCTCCTATAACAATTCATAGAACTAAAGTGCTTTCTGTCTTTCAAAGCTTTTATTTCTTCAGACATACTGGCATTTTTCTTAGTGAGAAAAGCACACATGAGCATTTCAGGTCAGTCTAAACTGAATTTGGTCTCTGAAGGAAGATTCCAGCATGATGAGATGGTTGTTACATCACAGTGTGCATCAAATTTAGTCATGCTCTAAGGGGAGAGATTTTCCTGTGTTGACACGATGCCTCCAGACAGTGACATATTAGCAGAAGGATCACAAGTCTTCAGAGATTAAAAATCCAGTTCTGCTCAATTCAATGTATATTCATCATAATTAGTACAGTATTTTAATAAGTCAGTAAAACAGGCTCTGAACCAAGGAAGGAAAAGCAAAGACCAAAACAGACTTTACCTTCTGGATAGAAAGCTGTATTTCAGTAAGCAGAAATTATTTTTAAAGCTATTTTTCAGCTAAGTGTAATAGCTGTAACATAAAGATACATAGATTATGTGGATTTGTCTCTGCAGGCTCTGTGACCCATGTAGATTGAATACCAGCACTATCAAATAAGAAAAAACAGAGTCTGAGCTCAGAAAAAAAGAGAGAACAGGATGAATAGCAACCAACAAATAAACTGGTTTCATAGGAAGACTGTTCTAAGCAGTAGAAGAAGAGATTTCAAAATGCACAGAGGCCTGGCAGTTATAAATGACACTTAGCCCACCACTGTGGGCTTAGTGGCCTTAAGTGGCCTTAGCCCACAGTATTTCCTGGGCAGTTGTGTATCAGAGCAGGAGCTAGCAAGGCAGATCTTCTTGGCTGGAATGGATTAGAGAAGGATAACCACTTGTGATCCCACTAATCCTGTTTCAGTCTGTCTGGGGATTTTAGGCAAGCAAGCTGTGACAGAACATTTGTTATCTGTGTACTCACAAAGTGGTTGATTTCTCAGTTTCAGAGTTGGTTTGATCTTTTAATTATATATACAGATGCACTTGTTTTCAATGTTTACTTTTACTCTTGTCTGTATTCTTCCTATGCTTGCAGAATTGCCAGTGATGCTAAAGCATTGTGTCTTTGCTTGGAATTACCATTAACTATAATTTATTACAATTTTTACATTATGCTCCTTTTCTGACTTTATACCTTCCAAGGTGAGAATCCCTCTACTGATTTACAGGACTCCTCTTGCTTTCTACTCCATCTTGATATGGTTTCTGTATAGAGCAGACTTCTACATGCCAAACTAAGGATTATTGTTCTCACTGCCTTCCACAAAAACTTTCACTTGTTTTGTCTCTTTCACCTGTTAAGTAATGTTCAAAATATCTTCCCCATGAAAACTTTCTTCATTCACCTGCTATCCTGCTCTTAAAGCCAAACTGTACCTTTCTATTTTATCAAGTTCCCTTCCTTCTTAATTTATCATCTGTTATCAATATGGGAAATATGATGCAGCTGTTGCAACAGATTGTTTTCCTATTTAACCTGCAAACTAACCAAAACCTGGAGAGAAGTTATTCCGTTTTTAGGAGAGGAAATTGCTGAAGGGCCTGGATACCCCTAAAAATAGATTTACCTGAAATAATGTGGAAAGACCTGAGCACAAAAAAAATCAAATTACCTGGTCACATTGCCAACATTTTTTTTATTGCAAAACCCAGATTTCTGTGTCCATACTGTTTTTCTTTGTATTTTCCATGGGTAGCTCTATTATCTTAGTAGAGCTTCTCCTACTTTACTCAGACTCATCCTTCTTTACAAAATTGTACATAACAAAAATTGGCTAAAGAAACACTGGAGAGGTGTTTCGGCTTAATTTAGCTCAAGAGGTTTCTGGCTCTATGTACTTCTAATAAAATCACATGCCATACAAAGAACAATAATCCAGCCATACCAGTCAGGATAAGGTGTAACAAAACTAACAGGATTGAAACATTTCATACAGGCTCTTCTATTACCCACAGCTTTCACATTATCTCTTCTCCATGTATGACACTGAATATTTGAATCCCTCTAAGTAGCCTATAGGTGCCAAATGGCACCAGATTATCAAAAGCAAAAAACATTCTTAAGGTCCACTTAATTCCAATATATTTCCCCCAACAATATATGTATAAAATTATCATTACAAACATTTTGTAACAGTTATCCTGCCTTAATCTTCATAGCTTTGGCATGTATCAGATAGTGTATAGTAATAATTAATACAATGGTTGAGAATGCAAAGAAAAGCAAGTTTTTAGATGTCGTTTCTGGGCTCCTCAGAAGCTGCAACTATGATGAGTGGCTGGGTCTGGAAAGCCAGACAGATTTGAATCTGTGCTACACCTCTGAGAGGAAAGCAACACCTGAAACCCCAATCCTGTAACATGGTGAGTACTGTTTAGAACCAGACCTTCCCAAAATTTTATAAGGAGCTTTGGCAGAATTTAAGCCTCAAGTCCAACACCTGCAAGCCTGATACTAAATCTGAAATTCTGTTTTCATTCAAGCTCTCATCTGGTACAAATTACTGTAAAATGTGATTGCTTCACAAATGCATCACATTATCTTTTGAGATAAGACAGAATCATAACCCTATTTAAAGAGAAAAGAGAAAAGGAAGCTTTGGAAATTAACACTTACATGTTTCAAATATTTCATACTACACTTGCTCTAGCAGTAAGACTTAAGAAGTCCTTGTTATTTGGTGAAAAATATGATTTTGGGTAAATTCAAATAAAAGCCTGAGCCTGGTCTTCCAAATTTGAAATGAATAGCCCAATCACTAAGATTTTCAGAATAAAATAACCTTCTTTCACTGTTTTGGGCTGCTCCTCCATTGATTTTATTATAAGTGCCTGCAAATTACTTATTTCACAGGGTGGAAAATAATTAGCTTTTATAATAAAAAAAATCTTTGGGTTTTATTGCAAAAGAAACAGAATGTGATTATTTTCAATTGATTTTTTTCTGCTTGCTTTTGATACTTCCACACTGGAGATCAATGATCAGACTTACAAAATTGAGATCACTGTCATTTCCAAATTGAGAATATGAAAACGCCATCAAACCTTTATTTTTATATTTTCACCTCTATGAAAGTTATAGGCCTTGGCTATGTGACTAACATTTTTTTAAAACAGTTGCACTAGTTGTATAATGAAATTGCTACACTCAATTCCCTTACATTATTTTTTAATTCAAAATACAGTATTGCATAATTCTCAAAAAATACTGGTTAGCATCGTTACCCTTGCTTAAAATTGAGTTGCACAGTTCGTTAATTTGGGAGGTGTCATCTGCTTTCTGCCAACTTTGTATCTCATAGAGAGTCTCTTGAAAATTAGTTCAGAAATGCAGTTTTGACTTAAATAACCCTGGCTGAGTTTGCAGATTATAAGGTAAACCAACAAAAAGAAAGAGAAGATGAGGGAAACACAAAGGAGAGAAAATAGGGAAACGTGTAGAGAACAAAGTGAAACCACTGATAGAGATTGAAAAAATATCTGGTAAGCAAATAAAAAGCATTAATTAAAAAAGAAATAGAAGGAAAATAATTTTCTTACAAAGTGAAAGAAAAAAGGGGAAATCTGTAAAGGGGATGAATTTTGCTTATGCAGAGGACAGAACTGATTGATTATCGAGAGCAAAATATTTAGATTGATTGAAGAAACACTGCCTCCCTGGGAACATTCTCTGTTATGAGCTACAGCCCCAAAATTACTGAGAGTATGGACAGCTGAGTATTCCTGAGTTATTCACCTTTGACACCTATCTGGCACAGAATGAATTTTATACAAATTAGTTTTCTCCAAAATGTATTAAAATTAAACAAAAAAATAAAAAACTGAAGTTATGAGATTTTAACTTCAAATAATGAGATTATTTTTATAATGGTAAGTAGAATTGCTGTTTTTTTCTGACGAAGATTAGAACCTGTTTGAAATTCTCTGTATGTAAATGCATTGCAGCATTGAGCAGAGAGAGAAAAGTCCAGGAGTGTTTGCTATACACAGAGTTTTTCTACTATTTTTCTGGCTTAATGGAATAATGAATTGAATAAATAAAAACATGCTCACAGCAGAAATGATGAAAAGTATATTCCACTTCATTTTATTTAGTTCAGTAGGGGGGTTTAAGTACTTCTAATTCTAGGTAGTTGGACCATTGCTTTTACAGAGATCTGTCTTCTGGCAGGATCAATACAAGTGCCTAAATCTTGAAATCCTTATCCATTGATTTGTCTTCTTTTGTCTTTGCACCATAGTAAAATGTCACCTTTATTCTATGTCATTTACATTCAAACATGAGAAAGTGGAACAGGGGAAAGGTTCTCAAACTTCCAAAATGTAGTAAAGGTTGTTATGCCATTTTTTTAACATAGTTTTTTTCCATCTTAAACTGTGTATTAAAAGTAGATCTCTTAGGATTCAGATTGGGCTGTAAACTACAGGAAGAAAACATTATGAACACATGCTGAGTTTTACAACAGAATTTTAGAAACGGCGAGTCTGAGCCTTGGAGGCAGTTTGTGCATCCAAAGCCAGAGCAAGCGCAGTCCAGCAACACAATCGTAACATTAAAAATGAGACAGGGCAGCTTTAAGAGAGAAACAGGAAGCTGTAACTAGAATCCAGCTGAATTCTGAGCTGGGGCACTTTACCATGAGGCTGCAAATGAAACAGATGTGCTTGCTCTGAGTTTCTGTAGTGTCTGGAGTTTTTGTACTAAAGGTGACAAGACTTTCCTTCCTGTGATTTTTTTTCTTCTTTTTTTATTTTCCACATACTTTCTATAAAAGGAATGAAATGGAGAAGTTGAAGAAATATGTATCAGTGAAAGATGAAGATCATTTTTATCATCAGGGGGCTGTGGAGCTGCTAATCTTTAACTTTCTACTCATTCTTACAATACTAACAATTTGGTTGTTTAAAAACCATCGATTCCGCTTTCTGCATGAAACTGGAGGAGCTATGCTTTATGGTGAGTATAAATTCAAGTGCCAGCATAACATCAGACTAGTTGCATATTTATGATCAGGTACTTGAGATCAAGTGCTGACAAAGCTCAGAAATGTGCTGAATTAAATGTCATCAGCTCCATAAGTGTACGGTAAAGTAATGATGTGACAGCATCTCTCCTGAAGTAGCCAGAGGCTGCCTTGATAAGGGAGCATCTGTGACGAGCTGGTTACCCCTCAGCAAGTGCATTCTGTGGTCAGACAGCACAGAGCTGGGGAGTTTAATGTTTACAAAAACAGTTTGCTTGGGGTTTCATAACATTCAAAGATGTTAGTCTAAGGAGACTTGTGGATACAGACATTGTTGTTGTCTAATAAAGTTTAAATGATCTTGAGAGCTTTCTTTTGGCTTTGCTCTATGCCTTTGAAAAACACACTGAAGAAAGTGTCTCAAGTTTGCTCTCAATGCTGTCATTGTAGCGTAACTTTAGTTTGCCTATCTAGTTCTAACCTTTTTTGAAGCTTTGCCATGTTGTATTTCACTCTCACACAGAACTCTCTGCATTGTCCCCTAAGTACTCCCAGGTTCAATGGTACACACATATGTAAGGGTTTCTCTTGTCATTCGCTTAGTGCTGTTTTACTCAGACTCTGCCATTTCTGCTGCCATAAGATACATATAGGAGGGCAAACTGTCAAAATGGAAGATAGAAATCACCTGTTCTAGCACATTCTGTGCACACCACATCCTCTAGCAGTGTAATACCCAAAACTGATTTTGTTAAGATGGGTGCCCCTACTCCAGTAGCTTCCTTCTCACTATTGTGCGTTTGCCGTGTGCAGTTGGTGGCATTTTCTGAAGGTGTAGACAAAAGCCATTCAGAAGAGAAATGAAATATGGGAGAATACAACAACAAAAAGATATGGAAATTAGAGTTTTATTTGTCATTTGGTTTTGTTTTGCTGCCTTCTCAGAACATACTCTGCATGTCATAAGAATAACCTGCTCATATTATTTTGATTGGTTAAGAGATTATTGCTCCAGCAGAACAGACCTTTTGAATTATTAAAACATTCCTCATGATTGTAAATAAACTATCTCTTTTAGTCTTGCATTATTGATGGCAACTTTCAAACAGGGAAAAAAGCCTATCTGTAGAATCCAAAAAGCTAATGATGTCCTTCTTATTCTTCAAAATTTTGGATATGAGTTTAGTTATTTTTAATACCATGGAATGGCAATATTGAAAAGAAAGTAAAATTTCTGAGGTCATGAAAGAGGTCAGATCAGATCAACAGGCAGCAGCTTTGGGAGAAAGTCATGACACCAAGCACTAACAGTGGGACTCCAAGTCCTGCCCTCAATGTTGCCTTCCCTATCCAAACACTTCTGATTTCTACCTTTTCTGCACAAAAAGATGTCCCAGTCCTTACAGTTTACTTTGTTCCAGCCCATTGAGCTATTTATCAGCTATGTGAGTAGCAATACAATGAAGGGATAATTTGGCTTCAAGTGCCAGGATATGGGCACTTATTGCAGAGTGTGTCCCACAGGATGACAGGTGGGTCCATATTCCTCAGCTGTGCCCTTAGGGGACTAGCTGTGGAGAAGACAGGGAAGGCAGTGTGGGGAACACCAGGGGAAAAAACAAAACATAGAAAGACAAAACCAGGAAGTTTTACAGTTACTTCAAAGTGCTGAACAGCCACAAATTGAACACAGCCTGATAGAAAGTTCTATTTAAAGTAGAGAACAAATGAAAGGGTGGGTTGGCTTTTTTTTTTTGGGGGGCGGGGGGAGGTTTATAGGCTCTGTAGGAAGATTAGTTTTAGGCTGAATAGTTCCAGCTGGAAAAAAAAAAACAACCATACTGTCCATTTAGAAACTTTAATAACTGAGGTGTATTATTTTATCAAAACAATAGTTCAACAATAACTATAGCTATAAATAATTTTAAAATATTTCTACAAAGTAAAAAAATAAAGAATTTCAAATAATGCAGAATTAATTCACAAGAATTAATTCAACATTATTTCACAAAGCATATATATATATACAGCAAGACATTTAGCTTGAAAGTATTTAAAGACTCAAATTGTTTTGTTTGTTTTGTGACCAACCTGAAAAATCACTCACAGCAAGGAAGAATATAGACTCACCTGTTCATTCATTCCTTGGTTTTCCTGAGTCTCAGAGAACAAGTGTCGCTGCACATCGTAGTTGGGTTTGATAAACAGACCACAAATAGTAAACTCAACTAAATTCCTGATTCCTGTATACCAGGGAGACAGGTGTGTATGAGAGAGTTTCCTATACAAGAGCGCATTCAGGAATAGTGTGGGAGATGACCTGCACCAGGACTGATGAAAACAAAGCCACTTGCCCGGGATCAGAGCAGGTGATCCCTCTCACAACACCAGGCCCCAGAATGTGGCCTCTTACTGCTGGAGAAGACACAACAAGCCAATAAAACACCAAACTGCCTGCAGCCACCTCCTATGAGGCCAGATATCTTTAAATGCCTCAGCCATAAACCATCAGGTACCAAATTCCCCATATAAGATGTAAGTCATGGCCCTTCACATTACTGCAGCAATAGTCCAGAGCTACACAGTGAAAAACTGAGTGCAACTATCCAAATTCCTTATTCTCCTCAAATTCAGGTATCAGGCTCACATAGAAGTATCACCACTCAGCTCTGAGTAGGAGGCTGAAACACTCTTGCAGGTAGGCAGCTAGAATTGAACTTAACAAAAAATCCAAACCAAGAGCAAGCCAAGCTTTGCCTTTTATATGGGAGGTTAATTACCAAACTGAGATTGAAATTGTTTTCAACTTGAATAATTGTCACCCCTAGGGAGTGGGTTGTACCCCCTAGGTGGAGGTGAGGCTGGTTGCAGGTGTACCAGCCTTCAGTGTTGTGCTCCATGGGATTAGTTGATCACACTGGAAGGAAAACATAAAAAGGCTGAATGACAGAAGAGCCATTGTGGTGCTCACATAAAATGGCTTTGGGTTGCAGAGGTTAGAGGTGTTTCACCAGGGTTCAGGGGACAGGTTTTGACAGGTGTGCAGAGGGAAAGCTGACTCACAGCAGCCCTTTGCAGCCCCTCCTGAGGATCCCGTTTTGTGCATTTGGAAGTGAGGCACAAGCAGTTCTGGATTCAGCTTTGGTGGAGATGTCTCATGAAGAACACTATGATTCTTATACCTTCTAAATTCAGTATGTCTCTCATGTGAAATAACTTCAGTAGTTGCCTTCTGATGATGTGTTCTGAGTATCCCTAATTCTCACAGGCAGAAATGGATGGAACAGGTCCCAGAAAGAGGAATCTCTGAACCTCAATAAAAGAGAATTTCATTGTCTTCCTGATTACAAAATTCACAATGAAGAAACGTTGTTGGGACTCAGAAGACAGAGTGGGAAAATCACAATTAAGGCAGAAACTGACATTTTGTAGTGGTGAGGTGGAGAGGAACATCATTCTTGAGACAAAGAAATTTGAAAGAAAATCCTAAATATTTGGAACAAAGCAAGTAATGACTGAAACTGGATTCCCAAGTGTTATCACACAGAAAGCATTTAAGAGCTGACTAGATGAAATCTGGGGAAAGAACAGTCCTGTTTAGCTCAGGAGTTTGGCACAATGACTTAAAAAAAAATGGTCACATCTATCATTGACAATTTTATCCTGCTTCCAGTGAAGAACCTGGAAAACCTGCATTGCCTTCAGTTGAAACATGACTGAACTGTAGTTAGAGTGAGATTTTGCTGCAAGATCCAACCTCAAAGGACAGTTGAAATTTTTTTAAAGAAATCTGTAACATTAGTGACACCCTTTTCTGTTTCAATGCTGCATTTAAATAAATGTGCTTAATACACTTTTTCAATAGTCTTTTTCTGCCAGTGTCCTTGCACAGGCCTTGGTGAATGTCTGCAAAATATTTTTGTTACCTGAGCAGATTAAGTAATACCTAGAATTAGGAGTGCAATAGAGGCTGTAGTTTAGAACATTGAGTCATAAGGACAAAAATGGTAAAGGAAAAAAAATGGTAAAGGAAAAAAAAGTTTTCTGCTCTAGAGAATGAAAAACATCAAGTCTTGGTCAAGCATCAAATTAAGTTGAATTTTCAATGTATTTGAAATTGAATTTAAAAATTAAATATGTGATTCTTCTAGAGGAAATCTGATAAAAATAAGCTGAAAACCCTGACAGTTTTAATTAATGAATGGTTTCCTGGTTTCCAACTCATCTGGGCTGACCGCTGTGGAAGTCTTATTTCATAGTTGCACATGCAGTGCTTGCTTCCCTTTACATAAACATACTTTCCCCTAACATTTTGAGGAATTCTGTCTTTTACTACAGCTAGATTTATTATCTGATTTATTACACAAATGCTGTGTAACTTAAGAAAGAGATACTGGAATTTTCTACAGCTTATTGAAATCCTCTATCATTTACAGAAAGCAAGCATACTAAACAATAGATTCTAAACAAGCACAAATGCATAAACACACTAAAACAGGCAATGCAGCTGTTACTCAGCATCACTCCAAGAAGCTACAAATTTACAAAAAAGCTTGACTTACAGGTATGCCAGGAATCTGCAGTTCCAAGAGTCTCTGTTAGAAGAAGATGTGGCAATAACAAGGATTCTCAAGGTCTTTGTGAACTCTTGTATCCCCTTCTGATTGAGATAAAACTGAAATGGTAACATCATATTTTGCAGATGCTTCTCTGATATTTTGTGTAATTTAATTTCTTTCTTATCTTTTAATAGTAAGTATAACTATCCAAATGTTTAGGTGTCTTCCATCAATATTTCATCTGAGAATTCTTAGCATTTTATGAATGTGTTAATAATTAGTAACTGTAAAGCTGTTCATTCTACACATGGCACTTAAAGCATGCAGGACATAAAAGAAATATGGCAATTATATTCAAAACCAAATCAAAGTCTCTGGGAGTGGAAATAATCTCAGTAACATTATCTAGCTAAATATTACCTCTCCTAAAATAAACATGCAGCCTCCCATTAGAGCCAACAGAAAGAGCCATACCATCCAGAGGATGGCTGCAGAAGTACATTTTCCTTTTTGTTAAATGTAAAGGGAAACAAAATATCTGTCTTCAGTAAGAGCCCTAAATTGTAGATAGTCTTATATTTCTTCCCTTCTTCCTGATTTTATTTTTCTATGTTTATGCAGTCTCAAAAATGCAGTCTTCTACAGAAAGCAGAATGTGCCTGGGGATGTGTCAGAGTTTTGTCCCCACAAATGAAGTGTATAAAATGCCCAACAGCACAGCTGATGTTTATATGCTTAGTTCAGCACATAAGTTGTGCAGGCATCTCCCTGCTCTAAATAACTATTGAAAATTTAGTGGATGAAAAACTCAGTTAATTATTATGCCAGCAACTGGATCACAAAAATAGGAGTATGACTGTACATATGTCAAAGAAACATCTGCATTCTAATGAAATGGCCATTTTGGAAGAATATTTTGTGGTCATCTATGAAGTGCTGAGAGAGGTTCTGTAAATGTAGAAACAATGAGAAGGTATCCTAGCTTTGGCAGAGCTAAATTTTCTCGAAATGTGTGGCATCAAATACTTGAATATCTTTCATTTTTCTTTTCTTCTTTACTCTTCAGGCCTTGTAATGGGACTAATTATACGATATGTGACAAAATCACCAGATGTTGAAAATGGGACTGTTTATGAATGTGAAAAGCTGAAATCTGGGCCGTCCACTCTGCTAATTAATGTAACTAATCAGGTCTATGAATATCAATACAAAAGAGAGATCAGCCACCACAATGTCAACGGTCACCAGGGCAATGCAATGCTTCAAAAGGTAAAACGTATCTTATTTTTGCTCTAAACTCTGCAAGATGGTTTTTTTTTTTGTTTTCATACTTGATACTTTTAAGTTAAAATGAGACTATTTTAGACTAAGAGAGACTATTTTGAATTTAGGGTGGGCAAGGTAGGTAAGGAAGAACAGTGAAGGAAAGGAAGTGTGGTAGAACCCTGACCATCATTTAGCTCAAGCTGACTGTGCACTCACAGAATGGTTGCCTGAGTTGTTTCAAATGACAGTCCCAGCTCCTGCAGACACTGAGTTCATGGCAAACACAGCTGTCAACTTGGATTCATTGCCATTAAACCTTTATAAACACCACTGATGTCTTTATTTTTCCTCTGTCTTCAAAGTAACTTGTTCTGGCAGTATAATGCAAGGGGAGGTTACCTCCTGTAGATAGCACAGGAAACTGCAAACTCTAAACATTTTTCAAAACACAAACTTGTGAATATGTACTTAATGTACACTTAAATTCATCACAGCATTCTCATACATGCTTCCACTCCTGCAGTGGTCCTCAGTGGGGACTTCACTGCCATGGGGGAGACAGCATTGAGGCGATTCAGGCTGGATGCAAAAAGGGAAGTGTGGGAGGAAATGTGTGGTCTTGCACAATGTCATGACCTTTTCTTTTTTTCCAGTATCTAACAATATATTTTACTTTGTTAGTATAGTCTTTCCCTGCCCACATAATATTTGCTTCTTATAATGTTCCCTTGTTTTTTAACTGGCAGCTATTTGAAGAACACCGGAGTGCAGAGACACTTTTTAAAACCTGGATTTTGTGCTCAAAGACATTGTATATTCACAGGAAGCTCGTATGCCCTTACCAATGGCTTTTTACAATATTGCAGTTTATTATTTTGCCTTTTTCTAAGTATTGTTGTTTATCTAGCACAGTAATAGATGATTCTGTGTATTATACAGTTATCGTTAGGAAAACTTTTAAGTTATGCTTAGAATATACACTGTGGAGCTCAGCAGAATTAGGATTTAACCATCTGCTCAAATTTCCTGCTGATGCAGCACCATTGTGTTCCTGTCTGCTGTTACTGCCAGACTTGCCCTTCTCAGAAAGAACTAGACTGTGGACCATTAGAGTTGTGGTGGGTGGAGACAGGAAAATAGTGTGGCAGTCAGGCTGATCAGGTTTTGCTGAATCTCCATCCTTTTTCCTGCTAGTTGGTTGCAGTTGCAACTTTGCTTTAGTCAAAGCGTGTGTTTAGTTTCCAGGACATATGTACTAATCCATTACATTTGATCATCTTCATCAGACCTGGCACTGAAGCTGGCTTAGCAGAAAGGAGGAGCAATGACTTACACAGAAATTTCTCTTGCCCTTACAGGGAACTGCTCGATCTTGTTTCCATAGTCTCACTTTGCTGGAAGGCTCTTGAAAGCCTCAACTGTGAATTGTAGCTCCTCTACAATTGGAGAGACCTCAGTCTGCCTGGATTTTCCCTTGTTTTTCCTTTAAAATCACCTGGCAGATGCCCTCTTGAGAAGAAAATCAATAAAAAAGGAAAGGGGGATGAATTCAGCTGTATTTGGGAGACAATAACAATGCCTGGCAGCCTTCCTGACTGGCAAAAGTACTAATGTGAAAAACAGAAAGCCTGATCACACCACGCTCTGGGTTTTGTACAACTGTAATTCCCCTTTGACTGCACGAAGAGCATTTACTTAGTGCCTTTTATCAGAGAGAATAGCTTGTGTCATGACTTACAAACATGTATTCTTCAGAACATGATTTTGAATAATAAAACATGCAGTCAGGATTTCTGATGCCCACAGAAAAGATATTTCAACATATCTGCTGAATTAATTCCAAAATTAACATTTGAGAATGTTAGTTCATAAAGAAAATCTTTTTCCATCAGGTTTTCAATGATGGTGCCAGCACAGCTAATGTTGCTGGCAGGTTATATATCTAGATTTTTGAGCTTTATAATTCAAAGTAAGCAGGATGGAAAAAAGTCTCAGCTCTCACTTCCTGTTTATTGAATCAAGATGTCTGTTAGTAAGAAGGCAGAAGTAATTTTGTAGGCAGGTCTTACTCTTTTGAAGGAAAATAATCTAGAATACTGTAGCCTTAAAATATCACTTCATCTGAACAAAGGAGTGCAGGACTTTGCACTAATTACCTCCTGTCTCTTAAAAATATTTATATAGTATAGCCCAATGACAGAACACTAAGCACTACACAGGCTTGTTTAAGTTGGTTTTTTTTCTCCAGCAATTCTGTAATTTTAAAGAGAATTCTATTCTATTGAAAGCTATTTGTAATGTCTTGCAGTGGTTGAGCAATGTCCTTGGTGGTGTTGGTGGTATAGGCCTTTTATCACCCTTCTGCACATGGGGAATTGAGGCACAACACTGCTGACTGTGTCTTTCCTGAAAGTGACCAGGAGATCCACGTCTGAACTGGGAGTTATGTCATGGGACTGTCAAGTTGCATGTCTGGTAGGGCAGCTGCTGTCACAGGTAACGCTGCTTTTATGTGTTCCCTATAATCTAGCACGTGACTGGTTTCCTTCTTGAACTACTACTTCTTTTCAAGTAGTAATCTACACATCTGTGAGCTGTAAGGAGCTACACATTTATACTTGCAAAAAACCAACTCAGAATAATCCCACAAACAGTGGAGGTGAGCCTGAGATCAGCCCTAATAAGAAGATACAATTTAAAACTATCATATCAAATTAAATGCTACTTTATTTGTCCTTACCCTTTCTTTTGTCCTTCCTAGCAGATGACCTTTGATCCTTCCATCTTCTTCAACATTTTGCTGCCACCCATTATATTTCATGCTGGATATAGTTTGAAGAAGGTATGTGTCTTTTCCTTATGTGACAAAAGGGACTGAGTGTGGCTGCTGCTTGTAGACCCAAAAGGCCAGTGACAGAGGACAATCAGCTAACAATCTTAGTGCCTGGGAAGGACTTGGCAGGAATGGATTAAAATGAGTGATCCATGGCCCTCATTCTGCTGTCTTTCTGTCCCTGTGCAAAGATCTGACTGTGCAGTTTATAACATTTAGGCCTTCCTCTTTTCAGAAGAGATTACTTTGAATGCTGGGAACTGCAGGCAGGAGCAGCCTGTGTTTCATATCCTGCCAGATCAGGACTTTGTTCAAGGGATGGGATTATGATACCATTTGCATCAGGTACTTCCAATGTGAACTCCTGTTATGATCCTGAAACATTTGGCCAGATACATAAAAAAGAGGGAACTTTGATAGCATTCCACCAGGGGAAAAAACATAAACACCTTTAAGTTGTATTTTCCAGAATAACAGCAGTAGCCAATATTGCTCCATCTTCTATATGAGAAATGTGTTGTAACAAATGGCACCTCTAGATGTGTTTCTACTCAGTCTGAATGCTTTTTTATTTACTATATAACAAAGGATTTTCAAACTTTCTTCCCCAGAGACATTTTTTTCGTAACTTAGGATCAATTTTAACCTACGCCTTTTTGGGAACTGCCATCTCCTGCATTGTCATAGGGTAAGTGAGTGCCTTCTGCTATTATCACATGCTTGGTATTGCATTCAGTTAAAAACTAAACTGTAAAAAGAATTGCAGACCCTGCATCATCAATATACTTAGCAACTGGTGTATCAGATAAAGTAATTCCTTCTCAAGGAATGCTGGGGTGGAAAAGGCAAAACCCACGGATAGCCGAGAACTGTCCCAGGTATTGAGAAAATTCTGTCCTTCATTTTTGGTCTATGACTGGTGTAAGCATGAACACTGCATAGCTTTAACCATCTGTCCTGAGAAATAGGAGCGTTCTCTCAATTGAAATCCCATGCTTCTAACTGGAATTTCTTCTAGAAAAGAGCAGATTTCTAACAGTAAAGGAAGGACTTTAAATCTCAGGGTGGTAGGAATAGATATCTCTTGGCATGTATGTAAAATAACTGGAGTCATCTCAAAGGCTAAGTGAAATTTGTAGTTGAAGATCACATGAAAAACCACAGTCTGGAACTGTGGGAATTGAGCCTGGGTGTGACTAAATAGCTTCTACAGCAAAAGAGGAAGGAGAAAAAGTAGAGAGGCAAAATATCCTGGTTTATTTCCAGAAATGCTTATGGAAAAGTTTCTAGTTCTGTGTCAAAATTTCCCTAACTAAAGAAAATATTTGCAATTCAGAAATGGATTATATATTTACAGGCTGACATGGTGGCAAAATTATGTTTCTCTGTGTGGTTGCTCAATCAAAATTAAACAAAACATTTCAAAATCCTTTTGGACCTTAAAATTTCCAGTTTTTAATAATATTTATGGCGCTCACACAGACACTTCAGCTCTCACATTCCGGGAAAATTCCTGATGCAGGTGAAAACAAATGAGCAGAGTTGGACTCAGCAGTGAGAATGTCTTTGTGCCTGCCCAGAGCCTTACTGTGAGGAGCAGTGCACTGTTCCCAGTTTAGCCTGAGCATCACTGACATCCCCTGGCACTTCTGTGCTGGGCACTTGCACAGAGACAGCTGAGCTACCTCAGTCTGGATGGTCTGGGAAGGTGATGGAGCAGTGCTGCATGGAGTTGAGTAAGCCTTGCTGAGAGGCCTTGGTCTTGCTGGTATTGTGCAGAGTTAAATTGGCAAAAAGTCACAGAACTCTCTGGGGTTCAGACCTGAGACTAGGAAGCACAACATAATTTGTAGGCCTTATTTGAGGGCCTGAGTTGTAGAACTGAAATCTACTATTTAATCTCTGCAGGACATGAAAAGGTATGTGGAAAAAGGTAGTGTGAGGGTGCTTGAATTTAAAACTGGTCAACGTTCTGTACCTATTGACAGCAGTGTCAAATTACAGAAGCAGTTCATTTTTTTAATGTCTGTCTTTTCCTTTCTTTATGGTAAAGATGTATGTGCTGCATCAAGGTATAAAGCCCTTACTGGCATTATTATGTGATGGAACTTTCTCCTTTAATGTCTTTTTAATAATAGTAAAATACATGAATGACCTATAACTTCGAGTTCAATGATATTAAAACCATTCTTTTATGGATATGTCATCATATTTATCTTGATATCTCAGTTTCCTAATAATCAAGTTTAGTAAGCATAATGCACCAGAGGCATTGTGGTATTAAAAGTTCTGCAAGCCATGGTCTCTCCAAATGCCAGGAAAATTTCAACTCTGCCATTAAAGTATGATCATCTTCCATGCTGAAATACAGAGGAGTGTAAACTCTCAATGTGGCTGTCTCCCCTTCATGTAAAAAAAACCAAACACTGAACATCTATGGGCTCAGGAAAAAGAATGCCTTCTGTTTCAGACCCAAATCTGTAGCTACAGGAGGCATTGTGCCACGTGTCCCATTTATTGGAGAGGAAAAGCTTAATCTAACTTTTCTTTCTGAAATTTTGCTTTCCTCTAGAAATGGTACCTCATCACTTCCTGAAGTTCACAGCTTGGACAACTATACCACTCATATTTTTCCCCTGTCTTTATTTGCATTAACATACCTTTGAGCCTTGCTCTTGTTTCTTCTCATACCCATCTATGGCAGAGAGCACCCCTTAGATTGAAATTATAAATTCATTTAAAAAATCTACATCCAAACAATATCCAAATGGTAGCACATTTTCTGAGGTAACAGTGATTCTAGATCTCAGTAGGACTCTTCCTGTGCTTCATCTCTCTTGCCTCAGCTATTGAACATAAATCAAAGCAAACAGACCTAAGTGAGTCTCAACAGTGAGACTACAGGAAAGCATTAGGGCTGTCCAGCCCAGTAATGCTTTTAAATATGCATTTGGTTTATGACTCTGGTATTGCCCCTTGTAAATAGAAAATACCAAAGCAGCTTTGATAAGTTTGTTAAATATAATATATTGAATTTAGCCTTTATTCCAAATACTTTAATTCCTGTATCCATGCTATTTTATATAAAACAGAATAGATAGAGCAGATAGAATCTACTACAAAAAGTTCCTACTAGGAACAATTCCTACTGGCAATTCAAAGTTCAAGCCCAAAGTCAGGGATAAAGATCCAAAGGAAACTGTAAGGTAGAGAGTAGCAGACACTGGGCCTTGCACTGTGTTCTTGTACCAACCCACAGCCCCTGCTGGAAGCACTGCAGAGAAGGCAGTAATCTATTCAGAGCAGGGCTTGTGTGAATGTGAAGCATGTTTGCATAATGTACATGTCAGGATAAGAAGGAGATAATGAGTGGATAAAGAAGAAAGATGATATGAAAACTTTACTGAAGGGAATGAAAAGTAAGGCCTAAAACAAAAATATGTCCTAAGAGAGAAAGGGTGAAGAACTAGTTGCTGTCACCAATGAAAGGGCAGAACCCTGAGGTACATCTAGGTTTCATTGCTGTAGACAAAAATTTTGTGCTCAGGTAAGATTAAATGTGTGCTGTCTTCTTATCATATGAGCACAACACACACACATGCAATGCTTCAATATCCACAGGCTCAAGCCCTGCATGTCTGCAGCCTCTCCCTGGGGCTGTGCTCCTGCTGCCTGAGTTACAGAGCTCTGTGTGAACCCTCCTGGGGCTCCTGAAGTATCAGGGCACAGCCTGTAACAAAAAAGGACCAGACCTCTCTTTGTCAACCAGAAACAGCTGGGAAATATCATTAATAAAGAACAGAAACATCATTTGGATTTGCAGCAAACTCTCTGAGTGCTAAAACGTTGCCATGGAACACAGGGATACAATGGTGCCTGTCTGCTCTTTGTGAGTCTTTGCTTTTGTGTGAAAGGCCTCAAGAAAGAGGAGCTGTGTGGAATTCGAGTGAATAGGCTATAATCAGATATTCCCACTGAGGGTGGGGGAAGGAGGAGTAAGAGAGATCATTTTTTTTAGTGAAGATTGTGCCAAAATGTACTTGCTTTCAGCTAAGTACTGCTCTAAGGCTGCCCATATTAGTTGTAAAACTGTCCTCAGCCACTTAACACACATGAAAGATATGAAGCTTTCCCAGCAAAGCAAAATTATGCCCTTCACACCAAATCTGACTAGCAAGGATCCATGCAGAGAGATGCCATGAGGGAAAGGGGAAATTCCCCCTCTCCAAGCCCTATTGTCTGCAGAATTGCTGAAGTGGTCCCCTTCATGGTGAGCAGAATCTGCTGACTCCAGGTCTGCATGACATAAGATCATATAAGATCCAGTCTTTCAACAGATCTTTTCTCATCAGCAGTTCTAGCTTCCTATCTTCTGAAGAGTAATGTGGAATAATCACTGGGACAGTTCTTTCTTCCTGAGAAAAACCATACAGGCCAAGTCTCTCTGAGGCTCAGCCTGATACAGGGCAGGCAGTCTTTTGCTGTAGGAGACTTCTTGAGTTTCATAGAGTATCAGGATTTTGAGAGAGACAGGACCACAGCAAGATGTCTTAAAACATGATTTATTATTCTTCTTCTAGTCTCATGAAGTCATGAGAGTGTCTTCACCATATTCACCAGATGTTTTTGGTCAATGGTCACAAGACTACAGATCACAAGGTTTTTTAAAGGTTAATTAGCCAATAAACTAATGCCACAAAAGAATGTTTCTACTTTCACACCAATAGCTAATTTTGTTTCCTATGTCTTTGCCGCAGTGCAGACTTTCTTAGCCAATCATATAATGGCACACAAAACTACTTGCTCTACTTTAAACTTCTTATTACCTTTATAACTACTTCTTTATCTTAACTTTTAAACCTTAAAACTTTCTACTACCTAGGTTAACGTCTTTTCTATCTGAACTACAAACTCACACCCTTACTCATGGTTTCTAAATCTGGAAGCCTTTTCTAATGCCTCAGGTCAAACTCTCTGTTCAGGTCTGTGTTTCAGCTTGCTTATACAAGATTTTGAGAACTTTCTCAAATGTTTGGAATTTCTACATCAGAGAGTAACTTCAGCCAGAAGCAATGTGTGGATGTCTACAGTCATCCAGAATTCTGGGATATCAGTTCCAGTCTTAACCATCCTCACTACAAGAAGTGTCTGTTTATCCAATTAGAATTTCCCTTGTTTCACCTTGTAACTTTTGCCTCCATCCTTTCCCTATGCAGCCTTCAGAAGGTGGCTTCATGTTCTCTGTACCCACCTGAAGACAGCACTTATCTCCACTCCCATCTACATGAAGAAGCGCAGCTTCTGTCTCTTCTCATATGCCACACCCCTCAAATTATCTTGGTGGTTCTCTGCTGAGCTGTCTCCTCTCCATCTTCCCTCTACCGGAGTCAAAAATTAAACACTCTATTCCACATGTCACCTCCCAGCTGCCAACTTAATGGCTTCTCCTGGTTTGCTCACTGTGCTTCCATGAACACAATGTGGTTTGCAGTCATAGTTGCTCTTGTGAAATCCCATTCTGATTTGTGCTCCATTTGATATCCTCCAGGACTCCAGGGGTTTTCTACTCATACTTGTGCAGCCAGCCATGCTTCTGTGGGACTGCTGCATAGGCTTGCTCTACTTTTCCGTCGGTACCTCACTATTAGCTGTGTATTATGACCATTGTAAGCTGAAGCACCACTGAGT